TACTGCGTATTTTTCTTGGTTTTATTTATGATATCTGAGTGGTGATCCCATTTGGATACTTCCAGTCAACGCTTCCCTGTAGTTTAAACAAAAACAGTTTAGGGCAGCGTGAAACAGTTTATCCTATGGATGGACTCCACTGCTCCTCTCCACTAGTTCAAATGAAAGGGAAAGAGTTGGCCGGGCGCGGTGGCTCAAGCCTGTAATCCCAGCACTTTGGGAGGCCAAGACGGGCGGATCACGAGGTCAAGAGATCGAGAGCATCCTGGCTAACACGGTGAAACCCCATCTCTACTAAAAAATACAAAAAACTAGCCGGGCGAGGTGGCGGGCGCCTGTAGTCCCAGCTACTTGGGAGGCTGAGGCAGGAGAATGGCGTAAACCCAGGAGGCAGAGCTTGCAGTGAGCCTAGATCCGGCCACTGCACTCCAGCCTGGGCAACAGAGCAAGACTCTGTCTCCAAAAAAAAAAAAAAAAAAAAGAAAGAGAAGGAGTTTCTCCAGTAGTGTATGTATGGAGGGAAAAACATTTTTTTTTAATCATCTTGCAGAGATTAGTGTTTAAAAAACAATGCAGCTATAGTTAGCCCTCTGTATCCTCTGGGATTCAACCAACTGTTGATCGAAAATATTTTTGGGAAAAAAATAATACAAATTAAAAATCCCATACAGTATAACAAATACTTGCATATCATTTACATCGTATTAGGTATTATAAGAAATCTAGAGAGGGTATAAGGTATACAGGAGGATGTGTGTAGGTATATGCAAATACCGTGTATGCTATTTTATTTATTTATGCTATTTTATATAAGGGACCTGAGCATCTGTGGATTTTGGTATCCTCAGGGGTTCTAGAACAAGTCCCCAAAGGATACTGAGGGATGACTGTATATCCAGTTGTATGTTGGTGGTTATCTTGTTTGAAATAGAAGAGACACATAGAAAATGGAAATAGAAAAATTGCTAAAAAAAAAAAATACTAGAGAACTTGAACAACAGAAAATCATTATATTGGCTATATAGAAATGTAAAAGCATGTGAAATCCTAGATAAAACCTAGCGTAGCAAACCTTGATGATATATAGTTGACCCTTGAACAACACAGGTTTGAACTGCATGGGTCCACTTATACATGGATTTTCAATAAATATATTGGAAATTTTTTTGGAGATTTGCATCCATTTGAAGAAACTTGCAGACAAACTGCATGGCCCAGAAATATATATATGTCATGAATGCATAAAATATATGTAGATACTAGTCTTTTTATCATTTACTACCATAAAACATACACAAATCTATTGTAAAATGTTAGCATTTATCCAAATTTGTGCACACAGACCATATGTGGCACCATTCAAAGTCAAAAGAAATGTGAATGTAAAGATGTGGTATTAAAACTTAACTGCATAAAATTAACTATAGTACATACTGTATCATTGTAATCATTTCATGGCCACCTCCTGTTGCTATTGCAGTGAGTTCAAGTGTTTCGAGTATCCTCTTAAAACACCATGTGTTGCTAAACATCTCCGAGGAGTTCATCTCCAGTAAATTGCACATCACAGTAAAAAGTGATCTCACAGTTCTCGTGTATTTTTTGTCATGTTTGGTGCAATACTGAAAACCTTGAATAACACCATGGGACTCAAAGGAAGTGCCACTAGTGATGCCGTAAGTCTCACAAGCAGAGAGAAGTCATGACATTACAAGAAGAAGTTGAATTGCTTGATATGTAGATTCAGGTCTGCAGCCGCAGTTGCCAGCCATTTCAGACAGATAAGTCATCTTATAAACAGATTGTAAACTTAGGGTATTAGTAAATACAGTACAGTACTGTAAATGTTTTCTCTTCCTTATGATTTTAATATTTTCTTTTCTCTATTTTATTGTAAAAACACAGCATATTTTTATTTATTTATTTATTTATTTATTTATTTATTTATTTAGAGACAGAGTCTCACTCTGTTGCCCAGGCTGGAGTGCAGTGGTGTGATCTCGGCTCACTGCAAGCTCTGCTGCCTGGGTTCATACCATTCTCCTGCCTCAGCCTCCCGAATAGCTGGGACTACGGGCACCCACCACCTCGCCCGGCTAATTTTTTGTATATTTAGTACAGACAGAGTTTCACCGTGTTAGCCAGGATGGTCTCGATCTCCTGACCTCGTGATCCACCTGCCTTGGCCTCCCAAAGTGCTGGGATTACAGGCGTGAGCCACCACGCCTGGCCAAAATACAGTATAATACATATACAAAGTATGTGCTAAACCACTATTTTTTTCTTTTTAAAAATAGAGATGGGCTCTCGCTATGTTGCCCAGGCTCAAACTCCTGGTCTCAAGCGATCCTCCTGCCTTGGCCTCCTAAAATGCTGGGATTACAGGTGTAAGCCACCATGCCCCAACCAGAATACAGTATATAATACATATAAAATATGTTAATCAACTATTTCTATTACCAGTAAGGCTTCCAGTCAATGGTAGGCTATTAGTAGTTAAGTTTTTGGGAATCAGGTTACATGTAGGTTTTCATTGTGTGGAGGTTGGCACTCCAACACCCATATTAAGGGTCAACTGTATATGGAAATACAGCCTGAAATCTGTAGTGAATTACACTTATTTGAAAATTGCTTTTGGCTGGAAGTATTTCAGGTAAGTTTCTAATTGAACTTTAGTATCACTGTTTACATATTGAGGTTATATTGTATAGGTGGGTGATACTTGATGTAAAAAATGATGTGTCGGTGACTGTGTATTCTCGTTAACAGCTCCAGGTCCAGTTCCTGTTCCAGGTCCCAAAAGCCATCCTTCTGCATCCTTGGGCAAAATGCTGCTTCCACAGTTTGGGATGGTCATCATTTTAATCAGTGTTTCTGCTATAAATCTCTTTGTTGCTCTGTAGTTTCATGCATTGTTTATCTTTCTTGTTCTTTACTTGAAATAACTATAGGGATCCCACAGAAGATCAAAAGGAATGATGTATTTTTCACTTGTTGGCCAAAGTCACTGATAAAATGAGAATTGTATATTTGTTATTCATTTTGTAAATTCAGAAAGTTGGTCCAGATATATGTCACAGAACTTTTCACTTCTATACTAATTGAAAAAAATCCCGAAAACTGTATACTTCTGATTGAATTCAATAAAAGATTTTTAGATATTTCAGAATTACCAGTATGCTCAATACTGTTAGTGTTTAACATGAATTTAATATCTGTATTTAATATCTGTCTACTCATCTCTCTTAGTCTGTTTGGGTTGCTGTAACAGACCCCTGTAGACTAGGTAACTTATAAGCAACAGATAGTTATTTCTCACAGTTCTGGAGGCTGGGAAGTCCGAGATTACGATGCCAGCAGACTTAGTTCCTGGTGAGGGCCTCTTCCTTGTCCCTTCCTCACCATCTCACATGGCAGAAGGGACAAGAGAGAGAGAGCACTAATTCCACTCATGAAGGCCCCACCTTCATCATGACCTCCCCAAATCACCATATTGTTAGGATTTCAACATGAATTTTTTGAGGACACAAACTACTCAGTCTATAACATTTGCTTCGATAACTGAGTCTAGTTATCTAACCAGCTATATGATTAAGGACCACAGGCCTGCCTTCTATACACAATCACCAGTGGGACAGGAACCTAACAGGATGACTGGGACTGTCTTTAAAAGGCTGACCTTAGGCCCTGTCTGGTATATTTATCTGGTTGAACTAGCAACCAGCAATATTAGAACATGAAAAATCAGAGGCTAGAGAAGCGAGCATGGTATGCATGCTGAGTGATCCATCTGCTAGATTATATAGCTCAGTGAGTAACAATTCTCATCAATTAGACCAACAACTCTTCCTACGATAAGGGGTGTGCAGAGGGACAGAAACTCCTATACTTGACTACATGGGTAAGAATGATGAACATGCAGATCTTCTGGGCCATGGAGAAAATGTGGAAAAGGAGAGAAATTCCTGTCCCAACACCGTTGGTATTGCAGTATAATGGATAGGAAAGAATGATGAGAGGATAGTAGTGTAACAAATTTACGTGCCATAAACTTGGCAAAAGTAGCTGCATACTTCTGGCAGTCAATTTGGAAAGAAACAATCAGTTTTAAAGTTCCTAGTCTTGGCCAGGCATGGAGGTTCAGGCCTGTAATCTTAGCACTCTGGCAGGCCAAGGCAGGAGGATTGCTGGAGTCTAGGAGTTCAAGACCAGCCTGGGCAACATAGCAAGACCCCATCTCTACACAAAATAAAAAGTATTAGCCCATTGTGGTGGTGCATGCCTGTAGTCCCAGTTACTCGAGTCTGAGGTGGGAGAACTGCTTAAGCCCAGGAGGTCAAGGCTGCAGTGAGTCATGATTATGCCACTGTACGCCAGCCTGGGTGACAGAGAGACTTGTCAAAAAAACAAACAAAAAACACCACAAAATATCCTAGTCTACACAACTGTAACCTATACAACTGAGCATAAATCTCTTCAGTGGGTTCTCAGAGGATGGACTCCAGATATACAGTGCATCACACTGTTCACCATCCCCACAGTAAATACAATACCAAGATTCATGGGGCTGTTTCTTGTAACACCTGTCAATATAAACCAAAGCATCACAGAGAAGTGCAAAGTTAAAGCATCTCAAGAGCGGCAAACATGATGCAGCCCAAACATATAGTGTGTAGTCAGAAATACTGTTTAAAATGACCCACTAGTTAAAGACACACTATTTAACATTATTTAATCTGTTTAACTCAGATTTTCTAGTATTTCAAATACTAATGACGTATTAGGGAATTCTTAATACTAGATGATATCTGAAGTAAGTTTTATTTGCCATAACCTAATCAAATTGTGCTGATTATATCAGCACTGACAAAAATCCCTAGGAGGGAAAAATCAGACTTAAGACTAAAATTCCTGAATTGTGATTATTAATTTAGTACCTATGTGGACAAAAAATGGTCATTCCTCAAAAGCCAAATAAAGCACCAGACAAAATTATATAAAATTATAAATTAAGAATTTATTTATAAGTTTTCATCTTTTTAGAAATAAAAAGGCTTAAAAAACAAAATGGTTGCAAAAATGGTTAATTTTGTTATATCCTAATTGCTTAGGTGTGCTCTGTAAATTCCAAATAAGTAAAATAATATAAAAATACATTTTCAAATCTTTATAGAACAAAAAAAAAAACATTAAATGCTTTTGGATTTTCTTTACTCCTCCCACAGATGAGTTCACAAATATAAAAACTGGTGTACATTTATACTCTGAAGTACAAATCTCCAACAGCCAAGTAATTATAGCTTCTTCTGTTATGTGCAAAGATTATTTCATATTTACTTGGTATGGAAAGCAGAGTACAGGCTCAGTGGACAATAATCATTAAACAGATTATGTTTAAGAAAATGCTGTTGTAAAAATGTACAATAGTACATACAATTTTGGTAATTATGCACTTCTTTTAAAGTAAATACAGCTTTTAGATATAAATCTTTCAAAGGTTTTCTTTGAAGAGCTGTGAGGTGACTGTATTTCAGATTTGATGGACAGTAATTTGTCAGTAAACTTCTCAAAAAACCAAGCCAAGAGAGAATTGTTTTCTTTTTCCCTCCACGTGGTCGGTTTCATTCTTAAGGAAGGGCTGATGCAGTAAGAAGATGAATTTCACAAACCTTTACACAAGTTTGTGAACTGTCAACTAAAGACACCACCTCTGATGTGGATGGTTTCATTCAATCCATGTTCGACCAGCTTTATATCTTCTAGATCATCTTTAATGATGCTAATCAAATGGCTAAGGCCTTCCTGTTGTTGTTTCAAATGCTAGAACAAATTAAGAAACAACATATTAATGTATTAATTTATTAAAACTGCAAGCTAGTCACAGGAAAAAGGACTCCACTTTGACTGTTTTACTAATAACACAGTACCTACCTAGTAAGTGCTCTAAATATAGAGGGCATGCATATTTAAACATTTGTACTACATCTTTTGCTAACAGTGAAAGACAAACTCTAAAGAACAATAAAATCAAACAAATATAAATTGAACAGTATCTTCCAACAAAAATGTTTTTTAGATAGCTATTTCTTTTTACCAACTTTTGATAAAGGCATAATAAAACAGAACTCAAAGGAGATATTCAAATATAGATGACTAGCAAAATGACATTCTGAAAACTGAGAATATTCATGTTTTAAAGTACAAAGTATATAGTGATAGTGGTGATGATGACTACAGATGCTAACATGTTTTAAAGACTCCTCCTTATGGGTTAAGGTGCTGTTTTAATAGTGAGTACTGGTATTCATTCACTCGTTCAACTCATTTAAAATCCTTTTGAGCACCCTTTGGGGTACCATTATCATCTCCACAGTTAAAGAAACTACAGGTAAATAACCTACCCAAGGTCATAAAGTAGATGGTGAACCATGATTCAATCCCTGAACAATATACTGCTCATCATTTTAAAAAAGACAAGTGTTTAAATTATTTAGTTTTATTGCATATATCAACCTACAACTATTACAATATACTGGAATCTGTTAATTTATTGCAAATATTTAAAACAATGGAATATAATTGGTTGTATAATGTCCAAGAATCTAGAAGCCAAACTAGTTTTTGGTTACATAAAACCAGCCATATTCATTCTAAAGCATATAATAAAATTGGATTTGTTGATGACATTTATAACCTTAATCTAAAATCCTCAGGGCCATGCCAACAGTCATTAGCTACCTAGTATGCTCCACAAAGTTCATCATCTTCATATATTTTCTTTAGACACAACTGTTCATTTTCATTAAACCAATCTGCATTTATACTAATGAAAAGCCAAAGCAGTGTTTCCCAACTTTTTCACACAAGGTGAAAACCCGAGAAAAGTGGCTGGAGGTTCTGGCCACCTCAACCTACCTCCATCCAGATCTCCTGAGGGCTTAGGGGATAGATCAATAACAACATGTTTATAACTTACATGTGACATATAGGCAGGGAAGGTATTATCTAAAGCAGTTGCTTCTCAAACTTTAAAGTGCATACAAATCATTCTATGATCTTGATAAAATGCAGATCGAATACTTCTGGAGTAAGGACTGAAATTTTGCATTTTTAATGACCTTCCAGGTGCGGTTACTGCCTACCCTTTAAGGAGCAAGGTCTAGTAAACTGTAGTGTCTCTATTACCTCTTAAATTCATCTTTTTGGTGAGGAGAGGGATACTTCACCTTTTTAAAACTGTGGCAAAACAGGCATACCATAAAATTTTGCCTGTAACTATTTTTAAGTATACAGTTCAGTGGCATTAAGTATACTTATGCTGTTGTGCAATAATCAACACTATCCATTTTGTTCAGAACTTTTCATCTTCTCAAGTTGAAATTCTGTACCAATTAAGTTCCTCCCATCCCCTCCTCCCCTCACACCCTGGCAACCACCTTTCTACTCTCTATTAATTGAACTACTAGGTGCTTTTCACAAGTGAAATCATAAATATTTGCCCTTTTACAAGTGGCTTATTTCATGAAACACAACTTCTTCAAGGTCAAATTGCACTGTAGCGTGTGTCAGAATTTCCTTCTTTTTTCAAGGCTGAATAATACTCCATTATGTGTATATATACTACATTTTGTTTCTCTATTCCTTGATTGACTCTTGGGTTACCACCACATTTTGGCTATTGTGAATAATGATCTATGAACATGGGTGTACAAATATGTTTTGAGTCCCTGCTTCCAACGTACTTGGGTATATATCCATAAGTAGACCTGAGAGATTGTATCGTAATTCTATCTTTAATTTTTTGAGTAAACACTACATTGTTTTTCATAGAGGCTGAACCATTTTACATTCTCCCAACACTGCAAGAAAGTTCCAATTTCTCCACATTCTCACCAACACTTTTCTTTATTAGGGTAACAGCCATCCTAATAGGTGTGAAGTGGTAAGCTCACAGTTTAAATAATACGCCCTCATACAACACTTACCTGCTTGATTTCTCGTAACAGATCTGCATCTATGTAATACCTTTCTTCAGATCTGACTGCTCCAAAATGATTCTGCATCCTGATTTGAGACATCAATTCATTTAGTCGACCCTAAAAGTTAAGACTGAGTCAAATGACAACTGCCAATAAAGACTTGTAAAAGAGAATGTTTTCTTTTGAAAGGATGGTTTCAAAACCATCTATTAAAAATTATATTTCTCTCTCTGTACATTATAGTTGAAACACTAATACTAGCCAAAAGAACTATGACTGAGTTTACTTTAGAAAGGAAGTTCTAATTGGAGATAAACAGAAGTATACAAAATTCCTGCTTGAAGACTACATAACTTTTTGTCTGCAGATCCACCTGAAACAAACTTTAGCATTATGGTCTTAGACGTGGTTACCTTGAACTGAGTAGGTGCATTTAGTTCACCCTGAATTGTATCCAGCTGAACTCGCAACTGCTCTTCATCAGCCTGAATGGCATAACCACTCTTCCTTTGAATTTCCTGTTTGATTAGGACCTATACAAATAAAAACCACCAATAACAATAGAATCATCTCTTTTTAGTTATGCAAGTAGTAGTATTACAATTAGTTACTGAAAGAAATCAGCTGAAAATTAACAGTAGGGTTTAATAGTTCAGGATTTGAATTATGTTTCTGTCCATTTTAACTGGGCAAAAGTTATCACATACACTGATGTACACTTGGGTTTTTTTTTGAGACAGAGTCTTGCTCTGTCTCTGAGGTTGAAGTGCAATGGTGTAAACACAGCTCACTGGATCCTTGACCTCTGGGGCTCAAGCAATCCTCCTGCCTCAGCTCCCGAGTAGCTGGGACCACAGGTGTGCACCACTGCACCTGGTTAATTTTTAAAATTTTTTGTAGGGGGTCTCACTATGTGGCCCAGGCTAGTCTTGAACTCCTGGGCTTAATTAAGTAATTCTCCAGCCTTGGCCTCCCAGAGTGCTGGGTTTACAGGTGTGAACCACTTTGCCCAGCCAACAATTTTAAAACTATGGTATGGCTTGGCCAGGTGCAGTGGCTCACACCTGTAATCCCAGCACTTTGGGAGGCCAAGGCGGGCGGATCATGAGGTCAGGAGATTGAGACCATCCTGGCTAACACGACGAAACCCCGTCTCTACTAAATATACAAAAAATTAGCCAGGCGAGGTGGTGCACGCCTGTAGTCCCAGCTACTCGGGGGGCTGAGGCAGGAGAATGGCGGAAAACCCAGGAGGCGGAGCTTGCAGTGAGCTGAGATCGCGCCACTGCACTCCAGCCTGGGTGACAGAGCGAGACTCCATCTCAAAAAATAAACAAACAAATAAAAAAACTATGGTATGGCTTAAAAGCAGTACAAAAAAATAGGCAACATAATACCCGTTTCAGACATTTACTCACAGCCTTTCTAAAGAAAGAGTTCTTTAAAGATGAGTCTATAATATTTATGTCTAAAAATTATTTCTTGGATTTTTTTTGAGATTACAAAAGCGTTAAGAAACAATACGAGAACGTAAAAGACAAATTTTCTCTCATACTCCTAAGACAAATAGTGCTAACTGATTTTCATTCCCCTGTACCTTTCTCCTTGCTCATACAGAGAGAGCACACACACAGATCCAAAATAAAACTAAACAGTATATGTCACTCTGTGACATGGTTCCTTTTTTTGGTTGTTGTTTTGGTTTTCTGAGACGACCTCGCTTTCTTGCCCAGGTTGGAGGAGTGTGGCACAACATAGCTCAATGCAGCATCAATCCCCTGGATTCAAGCAATCCTCCCACCTCAGTCTCCCAAGTAGCTGGAATTACAGGTGCTCACTACCATGCCTGGCTATTTTTTTTTCTTTTTGCTTTTTTTTTTTTTAGTAGAGATGAGGTCTCCCGATGTTGCCCAGGCTAGTCTTGAACTCTTAAACTCAAATGATCCTTCTGCCTCAGCCTCTCAAAGTACTGGGATTACAGGCGTGGGCCACTGTGCCAGGCCGCTTCTTTCTTTTCAATTTAACAATACATCGCGAGAAAGGGTCTAAAGCAGTGGCCTCTAAATGCAGACTCTTGGTTTGCTGCTACTCTCCAAGCCCAGCTTACTCGGTTAAAAACAGTGCAAGTCCCTCCATACTCTCAGCCATGCTCCTATAACCATATATTTTTCATAAACACACACACAGACCGACTGCTTTTTACTTATCTAAATTTTAAAAAATGGATTATATATAATTAACAAAATTTTATCATCAAAATTAATCATTACATTTTACTACAAATTAAAATTATAATTTTATTATCAAAATCTCATGAAATTCCTTAAGAAGTATAGCTCTAATTTGTTATTTTTAATGGCTGTATGCTTTTTTAATGTGTTATTAACCAATAATCAATCATTACTGTCTTGATGCATATACATTTTGTTTTCACACTACAAACAATGCCATGATAAACATTTTTGTAGCTTTGACTCTATAATCAATGCTGTAATAAACATTTTGTAGCTTTGACACTACAATGCTGTAATAAACATTTTTGTGCATAGATCTATTTAACTGGTATAGATCTTTAACAATGAGGCTGAGATTTAGAGTAAGCTGCTAGATTGCTTTCCCAAAAGATCCTAATGATTTAGATTCATAGGCCACACATCAGAATACCCTTTCCCCACATTCCTGTCAAGTACAGGTGGTGGTGGTTTAAATTTTTCCCAACCTGATGAGTGTAAAAGGATTTTTTTTTTTTTTTTTGAGATGGAGTTTCACTCTGTCACCCAAGCTGGAGTGCAGTGGCGTGATCCTGACTCACTGCAACCTCTACTTTCTGGGTTCAAGCAATTCTCTGCCTCAGCCTCCCAAGCAGCTGGGATTACAGGCGCCCGCCACCACGCCCTGCTAATTTTTGTATTTTTAGTAGAGACGGGGTTTCACCATCTTGGCCAGGCTGGTCTTGAACTCCTAACCTCATGATCCACCCGCCTCGGCCTCCCAAAGTGCTGGGATTACAGGCGTGAGCCACTGTGCCCAGCCAGGATCTCATTTTTTTTCTTTAATCTGCAATTCCCAGATTTCTAGTAAATTAAAGGGACCATCTTTTAATGACTAAACTATTTTGCATTTGCTTTTTCTGTGAACTGCCTTTACACATCTTTTGCCCAAATTTCAATTGGGTTTTATTGTCAAATTATAGGATCTCTTTGTATAATACGAATATGAACACCAAATCTAAAATCAATGCTGTTTGCAAAATTTCCTTTTCCTAAATTCTATCACATGACTATTGACAAATGGCTTCTGGTATCTTTTGCTATACACAATTTTTTATATGGCCAACGTTGGTTTATAGTTTCTAGCTTTCTGATCAAGTGTCTCTCAAATCCCAGGTTGTACATACAGCTTTGAAAGTTTCGTTAAGTCTTCAGTCCACTTTATTTTTATATGATGCAATGGTCTAATTTTATTTTCTTTCTTATGTATAGTTATACTTCAGCATTATTTATTAAACCCACTGAATTGAAATACCACTTTTACCATATATTACATTGTCAGCACACTATCATCTATTTATAAATTCCCTATTCTGTTCCATGCATGTTTCTGTCCAATCTCATGCAGATACTATATTGATTCAATTACAAGAGGTTTAAAATAGGTTCTGAAATCTGGTAAAGAAGTCCCTGTTCACTATTTCTTTTTTGTTCCTGAACAAGCTAGTCTCAAACATTTATCCTTCCTTATAAACTTAAAGAAATTTTAATCAAAATTTTTTTAGAGACAGGGTCTCCCTATGTTGCCCAGGCAACAGAGTGCAGTGGCTATTCATAGGCACAATCATAGCTCACTACAGCCTCGAACTCCTCGGCTCAAGTGATTCTCCTGCCTCAGCCCTCTGAGTAGCTGTGACTAAAGGCGCCATGTCATCACACCCAGCTTAATCAATTTTTAAAAAGCTGTAATTCATTTTTAATTTTGTAAAGTGGATATTAAGTATTCTCATCTAAGAATACAGTTTATTTGTAAATACCTATACTTTCCTCATAAATATATTCCTAAGTATTTTACTTAGTGAATGGAACATTTTCCTATTTCCAGATAGTAAAAAGAAAAGCTGATTTTTGTACTTTTATATCTAGCCGGCTTACTACATTAATTCTATGGTTTATTCCATTGGGTTTTCCAGATATACAATCATATCAGCAAAAAGAGAACACTTAATCATTTTCCCAATGTTTATATTATTTCTTTGCTTGTTTTATTTATGAAAACCTCCAGCAACGAATAATGATGATAATATTGGGTGTCCGTATCTAGTTTCTAAATGCAATTTTAGTGTTTTGCCTTTTTGAGTATTTGCTATTCATTTTTGGTTATAGTTTCTATTATATATTTTCCCTTAATGTGTTGCTATAGTAAGTCATGTTGATAGATGTCCTGTTATTAAAACCAACCCTGCATTCCTGAAATAAACTTTACTTGGACGTAGCATATTTTTTAAGAAATTGATAAATAGCTGGATTCTCTTTGCTTATACTTCATTTAGAATGTGGTTTTTCGGTCTGATTTGAGGTATACTCCACATACGACAATTAATCTGTTTTAGGTGTTCAGTTCTATGAATCTTGCAAATACATACAGTTGTGTAACCATCACCATGATTAAGGTACATAATATTTCCATCACCCCAAGCCCCTTGTAGTCACACTTCTCTCCTCATCTATAGTCCCTGGCAACTACTAATCTGTTATCTGCCCCTAATTTTCTTTTGTATAATGTTATATAAATAGAATCACGCCTTACACAGCCTTTAAGTATGGCTTTTTTCACTTAGCATAATTTGCATCTCTTTAAAATAACTTTACAATTTCTTTTCAGATGCTACAAACAGAAATGTAAAATGGTACAGCTGCTTTGGAAAACAGTTTGGTATTTCCTCAAAAAGTTAAACACACTGTGCATATGACACAGCAATTTCACTCCTAGGTTTACACCCAAGAGAAATAGAAGTATATGTGCATACAAACACTTGTAAATAAATTTTAATAGCAATATTATTCATAATAGCCAAAAAGCAGAACCACCAAAATGTCCATCAATCGAGTAAAATGTGGTTTAGCCATACGATGGAATATTCAGCAATAAATGAATAATCATCATTTATTAGTACCTGAAGTACTATTACATGGTACAACACAGATGAACTTTGAAAACATTATGCTAAACAAAAGAAGCCAGTCACAAAAGACCAAATATCATTATGATTCCATTTATATGAGGTTTCCAGAACAGGCAAATCCATAGGGCAAAACTGGTTGCACAGGACTTGCGATGAAATGGGGAAGATTTGCAGTGAAATGGGGAAGTGACTGACAATGGGTATGGGATTTGTTTGTAGGGTGATGGAAATGTTCTAAAATTGATTGTGGTAATAATGGTTATACAAGTCTCTGAATATACTAAAAGCCATTGAACTGTACACTTTAAATGAGTAAATAGTATGGTATGCAAATTATCTCAAGCTGTGAAAAAAGAACAAATAAGGAAGCTATATACATTATTCCTCAATTGTCTAGAATAATTAAAATAACACTGGAATTAGCTCTTTTGTGGTTAGACAAAATTTGGCAATGAAACTATCTGTCCTTGAGGCCTTTTCCATGTTTCGTCTTTCATTTTTCCAATTGCTTCTGTGGTTTTTTTTTTTTTTTTAACTTCTCTGTAGATTAATTTTGGTAATTTTCATTTTCATAGAAAAATCAAAATAAAACTTCCTCTGAGTTCCAGATTTGTTACCCTAAAGTACATGCAGTATCTTTTTTTTTTTTTTTTTCCTTTTTTCTGAGATGGAGTCTTGCTCTGTCACCTAGGCTGGAGTGCAGTGTCATGATCTCGGCTCACTGCAACCTCTACCTCCCGGGTTCAAGCAATTCTTGTGCCTCAGCCTCCCGAGTAACTGGGATTACAGGCGCAAGCAACCATGTGTGGCTAATTTTTTTGTATTTTAGTTGAGATGGGGTTTCACTGTGTTGCCCAGGCTGGCCTTTTTTTTTTTTTTTTTTTTTTTGAGATGGAGTCTTGCTCTGTCACCTGAGCTAGAGTGCAGTGGCCGGATCTCAGCTCACTGCAAGCTCCGCCTCCCGGGTTTACGCCATTCTCCTGCCTCAGCCTCCCGAGTAGCTGGGACTACAGGCACCAGCCACCTCGCCCGGCTAGCTTTTTGTATTTTTTAATAGAGACGGCGTTTCACCATGTTAGCCAGGATGGTCTCGAACTCCTGACCTCGTGATCCGCCCGTCTCGGCCTCCCAAAGTGCTGGGATTACAGGCTTGAGCCACCGCGCCCGGCCCAGGCTGGTCTTGAACTCCTGAACTCAGGCAATCCACTCACCTCGGCCTCCCAAAGTGCTAGGATTACAGGCGTGAGCCACCGTGCCCGGCCCATGCAGTATCTTCTTATTCTGTTTTGTGTATCTATGGTGATGCCCCTTTTCTCACTACCAATTTTGTATATTTTGCTCTGCTTTTCCCTTCTTCTGGTTGATGAGATGCTTAGTAATTTTAATGGTCTTTTCAAAGAAACAGTTTTACAATTTATTCTTTCCACTATTATATTTTTTAGTCTTTCACTAATTTCACATTTATCTTTCTTTCTTTTTAGTTTCTTTTGGCTTATCTTGATATTCCTTTTCTAATTTGAGTACTCAGTTCCTTTATTTTTCACATTTGATCTTTTAAAATGAGATTTTTTATGACTGTAAATTTTCCTCTGAGTGCAGATTTGGCTGTTTCCCATTGGTACTGGTATGTAATATTTCTGTTTTCATGATAGTTTATAATTTCAGTTATTATTCTTTTAATTCCTCCTGTTAATTTGTATATTCTATTGTTGTTTTTCGACTATTATGGTTACACTCCTTTTTCTAGCACTCAAAATAAAAAATTTTCTGAACTATTTTATGAAATTTATGAGACATCAATAATCTCACAGAAGCTTCCCTTGCACTAAGATACTTTATTTCTTCACTGCTTTCCCTCAAATTCTCACTAAAATATGAACTTTAGGATATTTTTATTCTCCTCACTCAACCCTATGAGACCTGTTTTCCAATTTCAAAGTTCTACTGAAAGAATTCAGTACTTCTAGTTTCACATTATTATTTTAGTCTTTTTTTTCTATTTTAAAAATCTGTATTTAGTACATTATTTCACATACACAGCCTTATAAATACTGGGGGAAAAAAATCCAAATTACTACCTGTAAAGTTCTATGGGAAAGATCCATGAGTTTCCTCTTGTATTGCGCAATTTTGGCTACAGATGTAGTTTGATTCTTTTGTAGCTCACTAATATCTTCAGATATGATCTGTTTAAAAAAAAATTGGGGGGGGGGGTGTTAATCAAATACCACAACTATTTATCAGTTACACCTGTATGGAAATTCTAATCTTGGGATAAGCCGGAGATGCATCCCTCAAAATATAAACTCTTTCCCTACAAATCTATGCATACATTTCTTCCCTTTTTACATACCTAAAATTTTTTTAAAAGAATCATGCAAAGATATCTTTACAGCTCTAGGAAATTCAGCAATGAGGCAATACACAGAAAAAAATAAGCTGGGCGTGGTGGCTCACACCTGTAATCCCAGCACTTTGGGAGGTCAAGGCGGGCAAATTACTTAAGGTCAGGAGTTCAAGACCAGCCTGGCCAACACAGTGAAACCCTGTCTCTACTAAGAATACAAAGAAGTAGCTGGGCGTGGTGGCGCGCACCTGTAATCCCAGCTACTTCGAAGGCTGATACAGGAGAATCACTTAAACCCAGAGGACGGGGCCGAGATCGTGCCACTGCACTCCAGCCTGGGCAACAGAGTGAGACTCCATGTCACAGAAACAAAAAACAAAAAAAACAGAGTGAGACTCCATCTCTCTCTCTTACACACACACACACACACACACACACACACACACACAGCTGGGCACAGTGGCTCACTCCTGTAATCCTAGCACTTTGGGAGGCCAAGGCAAGAGGAGTGCTTGAGACCAGGATTTTGAGACAAGCTTGGGAAACATAGCAAGACCTTGTCTCTACAAAAAATAAAAAATTAACCAGGTGGAGTGCTATATGCCTGTAGTCCCAGCTCCTTAGGAGGCTGAGGTGGGAGGATGACTTGAGCCGTGATCACACTCCAGCATGTAGGGGTGGGGGGGATGGAGGCGGAGAGAGAGGAAGTTAAGGAATTTGAAGTAATATGGAATACAGCCAACAACCAGGTCTGAATGGAAGAAGTTAAGATGTATAAGATGATATCTAGGGGGTGTCTTAACAGACAAGTAGCCCTGTATGTAACTATTGACAGAAAGTACAGTACATTTCAACATTAACTGTTACAGAATACTTGGAGGGAATCATCAGAGTGCAGAGGAAAAGGAGTGATATTAATTATGCAGCAGGATACATTTTTATGCCTCTGGATCTTTGACTTGCTGTTTTACCTGACTGAAATCCACTATTCTGCCTTAGGAAGTCTTAACCTTACAGGGTAGGTTAAAATCTCACTATTTTATTAAAGCATCCCAATCAGAATTAATCCCATAATTGTCTCTATCATAATTAATCATTCTATGTCACTGGCTTATATTAACATGTTATAAGAAAGAGGATAAGACGATTATGCAAGACATATTTTAGCACATCTACCTGCACACATCACCTTTTAAAGAAACTTTCCAATGCCATGCCATGCTGAAAGGACAAAATGAGGTGGCTATGTTTTATATTACATAACCTAGGCAATCTCCCACCCCAATTTTGAAAAATCACCAGGGTTTTTAGATACAAGAGTACTTACGACATTATTTCCTACCAGTAATAACTAAAAAAATTAGACATGTTATCAGTCACAGTATTTACTAACAAATACTAAAACCATCTAGGAATTGACTCAAGAAAGAATGCACAAGATTTTAAAAGGGAATATTTAAAAATTATTTTAAAGGACATAAAAGACCACAAGGATTAAAGAGACAAACCACATTCATGGATGAAATGATTTAATATTAAAATTCAATTCCCACAAATGAGTCTTTGCATTTAATGCAATTCCAACCATAATTCTAGCATTCTGACAAGTTGATTCTAAAGTTTTTATGGAAGAATAAAGATCCATAAAGACCCAGAAAACTCTGAAAAGAAGAATCAAGATTAGAGATTCATTCTACTAGATATTAAGATACACTACAAAGCCCTAACACTAAAAAAATGTGGAATGGGTGGGTATAAGAACAGACCAACTGGCCAATGATACATAAGAGAGGGTCTAGAAATAGATCACATATATATGGAAACTTAGTGTAATTTAAATTCTTTGATAATCATTGAGGAATATCACATTTTTATAGGCAATATTAAAAATATGGACCCACTATTTAGAGAAAATTAAATCTGGGTTCATACCACGTACTTGATATAAAGGTAAACTCCATGATGACAACAAAAGACTCAAATGTGAAAGGTTAAACTCTAAATTTTTTTAAATATAGGATACTCTCAGAATTTAGGGTGAAAAATTATTGAAGCAAATTCCCAAAAAGAAAACACAAGGCAAACATTTAATGGATATCATTACATTAAAATTAAGGATTTCTCTTCAACTACAGACACCAAAGACAGAGTTAACAGAGAGATGAGAAGAAGATATTTACAATGTTAAGTTCTGGACAAGATGAACTAAGTATATGCAACCCCAATCTTCCCATTTAATATAGCTATAAAACTGGGATGGAATACATGGGGCAGCTATTTGAGGACTCTGGCAGGAAGATCAGGGAAGATAGGAATTTAAAGTACCGCTGAACTTGTGGTGAGTTTACCCATTTTTCCCCTCAGGCATCCCTAGTCTGATTTCAACCCAGCCTCAAACCTGGAAATGAGCAAAAATGCTGAAAGGGAGCTCCAAGAGAAGTCTGCTAGTTCTAGTGGTAGGAGATACATCGTATTACCTAGAGAAAGGTTTCTCAACTTCAGCACTATTAATGTTGGGTAATTGCTTGTTGTGGGAATACTATTCTGTACACTGTAGACTGTGTGCAGCATCTGGGCCTCTACACATTAGATGCCTATAGCACTCCCCAACCAAGAGTCTCCAGACACTGCCAAATGTGCTTTGGGAGACAAAATCACCACCACCACCATAAGCCACTACTAAGAAGTACAGCTCTAAGACTTGAAATAATAGATTAAAAGGAAATGCTAAAAAAAAAAAAAAAAAAAAAAAAAAAAAAAAAAAAAAAAAAAAAAAAGTCCAAATAACCCAAAGGAAAGCAGAAAAACGGAAACAGGAATGAAAAACAGAGGCTGCAAACACAAAACAAATAATGGTAGGACTAAATCCAAACTTTATGCCGTCTACAAGTCTCACTTCAAATATAACAATATACGTAGGTTAAAAGTAAAAAGATGAACAAAGGTATGCCATACAAACACTTTTTATCAAAAGAAAGGTAGCGTGGCTATGTTAACATCAGACAAAGACTTTGGCGTGTCTTGAGTAAGTGTCCATGAACAGATGAATGGATAAAGAAAACAAGAAATAGAATACTACTTAATAGAATACTACTTAATCATGAAAAAGAATGAAGTGCTACCATTTGCAGCAACACAGATGAACTTGGAAGACATTTTGTTAAGTGAAATAAGCCATGCACAGAAAGATAAATTCTGCATGTTCTCACTCATACGTGGAAGCTAAAAAAAAGTTGATTTCGTAGAAGTAGAGAGTAGAACAGTAGCTACTAGAGGTGGAGAAAGAGTAGGAGTAGGGAACTGCCAAAGGTTGCTTAACAGATACAAAGTACAGCTAGATAGGAGGATTAAGTTCCAGTGTTCTACAGCGCTACAGGTAACTATAATTCACAACCATGTATTGTATTTCAAATAGCTATAGGAGTGAATTTTCAATGATACCAACAAATGATAAATGAATGGGGTAATGGATATGCTAATTACCCTTATTTGATCATTACACACTGTATCCATGTATTGAATTATCACAATATGCCCCGTAAATATGTAGTTATGTATCAATTAAAAATAATAAAAGAAAAAAGTCATTAGAGAAGATATAAAACTTACCGGGGATTAAGAGGGATATGATATAATAATAAAAGGTAAATTTGCCAAGAAAACACAACAATCCTATATAACAACAGCCCTTCAAACTATTAATACATGAAGTAAAAACTGAGAAATGAAAGGAGAAAAACACAAATCCGTAAGTATAGCTGTGAATTTCAACTCTCTTCTCAAACTAGCAGGCAGAAAAATCAACAAGAATACAGAACAGAAATGTTATCAACCAACTGGATCTCACTGACATTAATAGAAAACGTCACCTAAGAATTGCAGAACACACATTATTTTCATAGGCTCCTGGGTTATAAAGCCTTAGTAAAGTTGGCCGGGCGCGGTGGCTCGTGCCTATAATCCCAGCACTTTGGAAGACTGAGGCGGGCGGATCACGAGGTCAGGACATCGAGACCACCCTGGCTAATAGGGTGAAACCCCGTCTCTACTAAATATACAAAAAAATTAGCTGGGCGTGGTGGCGGGAGCCTGTAGTCCCAGTTACTCGGGAGGCTGAGGCAGGAGAATGGCGTGAACCTGGGAGGCGGGGCTTGCAGTAAGCCCAGATTGCGCCACTGCACTCTAGCCTGGGCAACAGAGAGAGACTCCATCTCAAAAAACAAAACAAACAAACAAACAAAAAAAACCTTAGCACAGTTAAAAGAATTGAAATCATACAAATTTCTCTGACCTTTAAGACTCTTTAAGTATTTAATTATGAAGTCTTTTTTTTGAGGAGTCTCACTCTGTCGCCCAGACTGGAGTGCAGTGGCACGATTTCTGTTCACTGTAACCTCTGCCTCCTGGGTTCAAGCAATTCTCATGCCTCAGCTTCCCAAGTTGCTGGCATTACAGGCGTGCACCATGACACCCAGCTAATTTTTGTATTTTTTAGTAGAGACCAGGTTTCACCATGTCGGCCAGGCTTCTCTTAAACTCCTGATCTCGAGTGATCCACCCACCCTGGCCTCCTAGAAAAGTCTACTTTACGAAATAAAATATTAAGTATATTTAAGCATTAAGTAATTTTAAATTTGCTTCATCAATATACAATAATATACCAAGACAATTATATGTCAACACAAAAAAACTTAATTATAACCTCCATTTTCATAAGGCCCCATAAATAATAATATGCAATCCCTGGCTGAAACTGGAAATGACAGTCTAATTAATCTACTAAGCCAAGAATTCTAAATTCATTATCATATCAAATCAGATTCATATGATTTGGGGACTTCTATCATAAAGAAGGTAGTTGCATAAAACTATAATTATTAATTTGCAGTGTATGCTACATTGTTTCCTGATTAAGATAAAATAGTAGCACATATATTAAAAAGAAATAAATGGCTATAATCCCTTTCCCTACTTCCAGGGCCAGGGAATGAAAAGCTAAATGCTTACATCTAATCTGGTTTGATGTTGCTTAGTCATCTGATCTTGAACCTTCAGTCTTCGGAGAAGTTCCTTAAAACCCACCATTGGTACAGGAATTAACCTGAAGAAATGCAGTGAACAATTTTCAGATCTTAAGCCCATTACTACAAAATACAAGAAGTTAAGGTTTTAATAACATTCATGTAATATTACATCAACTTTCTAGGGCTCTAAGGCAGATCTATGACTATGAGATAACCATGTTACACCAAAGAGATTTTATTCAACCTCCCTATTTTACAAATGAGGAAAAACAGTTCAGTCAAAACATTACATTATTAAATGCAAATGCAATTAGATTTTTCCACTCCTAGTTAGTTCTCACTATGCTATGCTGCCTTACCATAATCTTTTTTTTTCCTTTTTGTGTTAGCTGAAGCTTTAGCTGGACTATAATCAATATTTTTTAAAGACCATGAAAATGAAAATAAACTTCTCTTATATGTAATAATTATAATTAATAGCTCATATGATTGCTTTCCTAGTAGCAAATATTAGTTCTTAAATGAAACAAGATGAAGACATACTTACTTTTCAGAATCAGGGTTATCTACCTTGGCCTGTTCCCAGATAATAGGATCAACACCTACCACAAATAAAAAATATTTTTTCTAAAACAATTTTCTATTTTTATAATATGTGTATGACAAAGGCTTTCCTAAAGTAAGACCCTAAACCCAAAGCTATAATGAAAAGTGACTATCAAATATGATCATGGTAAAAATACAAATTTTTGCAGCATAAATAAAGCTCAAAAAAAGTACAGACTGAAAGGAAGTATCTATAACCTATAGGATAATAGATTAACTTCCAGAATATAGAAAGAGTTCCTAAACATCAAAAAGGAAGACAAAAAAAATCTAGAAAATGGGCAAAGGACACAAATAGGTAACTCACAAAAAATACAAATGTAGCTAATAAACATATTAAAAATAAGTATTAATTTTTAAATTAATTATTTTGCCATCGGTGGCCAGAAAAATAACATTCCTGTTATGAATGTAAATGGTAGAACTTTCCCTGGAGGGCAATTTGGCAGTATCTAACATACATAATATTGACTCAAAAATTTCATTACCAGAGATCTATTCTAAAGAAATATATACCAATGTGTTTTAAGACATGTTTACAAGGATGTTGTTAATTACTGCATAGTTTATAATAGTGAAAAGATAGAAAACAACTTAGAGGTGTTAAGTAAAGGTGTATCCATGGAATACTATGCAATGTTTAAATACAGTAAGATTTATCTTCATGTATTGACATGAAAAGTACTAACAAATACTATAAGTGAAAACGCAAGCTGCAGATGTATATGCAGAATCCTTTTTTAAAAGATCTACATGTAAATATGCTTACATTTCAAATCACAGATAAAGGATTAAACAGAGTACCATAAATTGATAGTTACTTCCGCAGAAAGGAACTAAAGGTAATCTATCACACAGCCAATCTAGTTATGCCATCCAGAATATTTTACAGTGAGAACACATTCAGGTTTTACTTGAATATTCAACGAATATGAGATAAGCTAGAAAAAAATAAGCCAAAATTTTACTAGTAAATTACCTTCAGTTAGATGGATTATGGATTACTTTTCTTCGGTTCACTATTCCTCAAAATTTCTATTTTAATACATACATATTAGTTACATAATAAAAAACTAAATGAATACAAATATTCAAAACTATTTCCCAAATAAGTAGATATGTGATGATACTAATTTTATTAACATTAATAACCAACCAACACCTCTGAAATAGGGGGATTGTTAGTTCTAAATCTTTTTTTTTTGAACTCTGTGATTCTAGAAACATACCAGCAGGAGGATTCTGTAAAAGCTGTTTGATCTGTGCAGGAGAAAGTTCTGTTCTAGTCATAGAAAGGGTTACACCAAGTTGCTGCAATTGTGTTTTTATATTGGCTTGTTCAAAATGGGCATATAGCGTTGTAGCTGGAACTCTTCTTGAAGTACCATTTGGTGAACGCTCAACAACATAAATAACAACTTCTGTCCTAAAGGAAGAATAACGAATTTATAAAATACGGAGCACAAAACTCATAGCCACAAACCTCAGCATATCATAGCATGTGATTTCAGAAGTGTAAGTTGAATTCAGACATGGTTATTTTAGGAGGCAATTAAAATGTTTCCTTTTTTTTTTTTTTTTGGAGCAAAGTTTGCTCTGGTGTCCAGGATGGAGTACAGTGGTGTGATCACTGCAGCCTCAATGTCCCAGGCTCAAGCAATCCTCCCACCTCAGCATCCAAGTAACTGAGAGTACAGTCACACACCTGCTATGTTTAGCTTATGTGTGTGTATATACATAAAGTTCTGGGATTACAGGTATGATGAGCTGCTGTGCCCAATTGTTTTCTTCTTAAATCTTGAAAATAAAAAAGTTTTACTTAATGTAATGTTCATTTACAAATCAACCAAAATGATAAAGTTAAAATGAACCAGGTAAATAAGATAATATTTGGGGTTTTTTTTTGTTTGTTTGAGACGGAGTCTCGCTCTGTCACCCAGGCCAGAGTGCAGTGGCGCAATCTCGGCTCACGCCATTGTCCTGCCTCAGCCTCCCAAGCAGCTGGGACTACAGGCTCCCGCCACCACGCCCAGCTAATTTTTTTGTATTTTTAGTAGAGACTGGGTTTCACCGTGTTAGCCAGGATGGTTTTGATCTCCCGACCTCGTGATCCACCTGTCTCGGCCTCCCAAAGTGCTGGGATTACAGGCGTGAGCCACCGTGCCCGGCCAATAAGATCATATTTATAAAGCGGTTCGCTTAGCTGCAAAATCCTATGTAAATGTTATTTATATAGAAAATTATGTTGAAATTTACGGGTTCTCTGCAATTACGACCATGAGTAAAATCTGATTCAATTATTGCTTCTCATTAATAATCATTCCTCCAAATATCCTAAAATAAATGTCTTGCCACGAACACTGAGAATTATACTTAGGTCAAGGGAAGTAAAGCAATAATATTTATCCATGAATGAACATGAACAGTAATCAGTTAATAACATTTTCCAATAACATCTTTATGGCCCTCAATTTGCACGCATCTATGACAAATGGTCCCTTCCTGGCCTGAATGAAAATCTAGAAAATTATTAGCATCTAGTAAGTTAAAAAATCCAAATTTTTAAAAATGCTTTAAAATAAATGTTTTTATAAATACTGAATAATCACTACCTGAGAAAAGACATTCTGCTCTGAGATTTAATTTGTGCTTTAGCAACGAAAACACTATTGATCACTCCCTTAGGACCAGAAATAAATACACAGAAATAAACAGTATATTTATGTATACTTACTGATCATCTGGCAATGTTTTAGTGCCCTCTACATTTACAGTAAGGGTCTGGTTTCCTCCCAGAACTTTATGCAATGATTCCACCAACTGTTGTTGTTGGCTTCGAATCTCTGTTTCTTTTTTGTTGAAAACTAAAACCACTAGCCCATCTTCATCTTTATTACTGGGCATGCAACTATAACCTACTGCCTGTGGAATGACAAAATAAACAATATAAAAAATATGTACGGATCTTAAATCAAGTGTTTAATATTAACAGCTTAATATCTGCTAAAATGGGAAAAACAACTTAATGTCTGGTAATTAAGGGAATAATGATTCTTCCCACCATTTTGTGCCCTAGGAGGTCACAAAATTACAAAGAAAAACTATTTTACCCGGGAATAACATTAACCTATACGGTAAGATTAAAATTTCCCCTTTGAGAGAGTAACTAAAGAGCTTTCTCCCCTAAAAAATTTTGATATTCATTATTGTTGGTTGTTTCTAAACCATATGCATGCCATTATAAAAGTGACTGTAAAAATCACCAACTAATTATAATTTATTTCACTATACAGATTGTTCCCAACTTAAGATTTTTCCATTTTATATGGTGTAAAAGCAATATGCATTCATATATACATACATGGAAACCATACATGGAATTCTGATCTTTTAGTTTTTATTATAAAATTAAAATTATTATTATAAGATAGACTTGGTGTTAGATTATTCTGCCCAATTGTACACAGATGTAAGTGTTCTGAGCATGTTTAAAGTAGGCTAGGCTATGATGCTTGGTAGGTTAGGTGTATTAAATGCATTTCTGAATTACAATATTTTCAATTATGATGGGTTTATTGGGATGTAACCCATTACAACTTGAGGAGTATCTGTACATCTGATTCATGGAATCTTAAACTAAGTTTTAAATGTATAAAGAAGCAATTTACAAATAAATACTTTTAAATCACAGTAATGACAGTCAACTTACAAATACTATAAAGAATGTCTGTATCACTTTATTGGTTTATATAATACAAAACTTTATGAAACAGGATTGTATTTTTTCACATATTAATAGGACCAATTATACTTTTCTAAAGAATTGCTCTTTAGGTAGAAGCCTTTTATCCTTTTCACCACTCATCTGCAACTTTTAAAAAAGAATTTAAATTAACTCAAGTGTACATTATGCATTTTACCATGTTATACACCAACTTTATTAAACTGTTATATTCAACTTATGTCTATTATTGAATACCTCTTAGCAACTAAATACGTGTATCAAAATTTCAACTACATGCACTCAATATACTTTTTGTTAGTGATGAGACAAAGAGATGTTCTGCAACAAGACAGGCTGACCACTTTATTCAAGGATCCCATCCTCAGCCTTACAGTTCCAAACACAGGGTTATGTACATATTGATTAGGTTTAAGAGACCAATGTAGGCCAATATAACTTCTAAGAGGCTGAGGTATAAACTGGAATGCAATATATAATTTGTTATGGAAAATGCATTACCAAATGGAACTAAATACTCTCACTGGCTGATAAAGAGATTTTCTGAACAGACAAATGAGAAGGTTGTTTGGTAGGCAGGGAATAAGAACACAGAAAATGGGCAATACTGTTTTAATAGCTTTGGGGTTATACATGCTAAGGGGAATTCCTGTCTGCTGGTTAAGGTATACTCTCCTGGCCAATGTTAAACGAATACCACTAAATTGCAGTTTGGTGTCTCCCCTTTACAGGTGCCAAGCAAACCATTCTCCTGTTTACATTTTTTTTCTTCAGTTATAAATCACATTCTAGTCACACTTTCCTTCATTCATATTCTGGTCACCTTCAACCACACATATGTATGAAATCACTTCAATTTTATAATTTCTATATTTTCAAAATAAAAGTATAATCATACCATGTTCAAGGAGTAAAGACCCCAAGCAATTGTTATCCGGATATTAATCTAAATATATTTTCCATTATACAAAATCTTCAATTGAAGATATAAACAGTATTAATAATACCTTAAATCGACAAAAGGGATTTTCTTGTGTGAATTCCACTGGCGGAATATTATTGTTGAAATACCCTTTTCCTGTTCCCCAAAAGGCCTGCAGTTGATTCCATTTTGCCAAAATAGCATCTCTCTCATCTCCCAATAGTGTTGGAGCAGAAAGAGCACTCGCAGTATTTATCAGCTGGTTGGACTGTGTAGGAGCTTGTGTAGGCTGACTGAAGAGACCACCTAATGCTAAAAAGGTACCCAAAATTAGTATTTAAAAATAAAACAAAACAAAACTTAATCCAGATCATAGGCATGGTAGGCAAAATAATGCCCCCGCTCCCCCACCCACAAAGATGCCCATATCCTAATCTACAGAACCTATAAATACGTTATCTTACATAGCAAAAGGGCCTTTGTGGATGTGATTAAATTAAGCATGTTTAGATAGAGGGTTATCCTGGATTATCAGGAGGGACTCAATGTAATCATAAGATCCTCAAAAGTAGAAGAGTGAGATCAGAGTCAAACAGATCTGAAGATGCTATGCTGTTGGCATATGGCAAGACGGAAGAAGGAGCCGCAAACCAAGAAATGCAGGAAGACTCTAAAAACTGGAAAAGGCAAGAGAATGGATTCTCCCTTAGTGCCTCTAGAAGTAACACAGTACTGCCAAGAGCTTCATTTTAGCACAGTGAAATCCATTTCTGGACTTCTGATCTCCAGAAACTATAAAATAATAAACTTTTATTGTCTTAAGCCCCTAAGTTTGTGGTAATTTGTTATGGCAGCAATAGGAAACTAATTACACTAGGCCAAACCTTATAATGTTAAATTTGCATTTATTATAAATAGGGTCTCACTTTGTTGCCTAGGCTGGAGTGCAGTGGCCAGATCATGGCTCATTGCAGCCTCAACTTTCTGGGCTCAAGCAATCCTCCTGCTTCATTATCCTGAGTCGCTGACACTACAGGAGTGCACCAACGTGCACCTGGTTAATTTCTTAAAATTATTTTTTGTAGAGACAGGGTCTTACTATGTTTCCCATGGTGGTCTCAAAACTTCTGAGCTCAAGAGACTCTCCTGCCTCAGCCTCCCCAAGTGCTAGGATTACAGGCATGAGCAACTGTGCCCAGCCCTAATGATGTTATCCAAATTAATTCCATTACCAGAACACAAATTGGGTCCACAATATTAAACCTACACATGAAAGAAAGAAAGGAGGGAGGGAGGGAAGCATGCATGAGGATGTAGGATGCATAAAGATGTAGGATTTTTTAAAATAACCATTATTACTGTTATATTTGTATAATAAATATAAATTGGGGGATACAAAGTAAGTCTAAAAATCATTGTTATATCAACACCAGCTTCCTAAACATTTTCCTTTCTCTCATTATTAAAAAAATATAGTAATAACAAATGGATTAACCATCAGTATTCTAGGCTAAAAATTTAGATGGCTGTGTAAGTTTGGGCAAATCACTTAACCTCTGTGGGATACCAATTTCTCTAATGGAAAGAAGGGCCAAGTTCTTAGGGCAGATAAATATTTCCCAAAGTGTGAGATAAGTATGTCATCTTTTAACAAAGGGAGGAGCGAGTCTAAGGCTCAGAGCTTAAGGCAAAGGTATCTACCTAGAATTTATTAACACTATATTTTCTTTGTACTTAATTTCAATTACCTTTTCCTTAGAGCAAATGATACTAGTTTTCCACTTATAGCAGCAATAAATTTTACTTTAAAATAACTGTATTTAGTGTTTCAAAGTAAACTGATTTAAAGAAAATTCTTAAATAGTAATACAAATGGTATATAGATAAGGAGAAAACGTGAATACTAAAATGACCTGAGTTTTAAAACACTGTATTAGATATTATTTAAGTTCTCTTTCAGCTCTAAACATTGAAAGTACCACAAGGTCCATGGAGTTTCTACAGGGATAGAGAGAGACTCTTTTACTCTCCAAAAATAATTCCCAAATGAGTATATATAAACATTGGCAAGAACTGGACTGGAACTCAGAACACCTGAATCCTGGTTTATTATAAGGTCACTTTCTATCCTTCAGCAAGAAATTCCCGGGCTTTATCTTCCTCAACTTTTAAATGACATGAATCAACTGTGATCTCTATACTGAGACATATGTAGTCAGCCTCTCATTTTATACTTCACACTGAATTATGACTGTACCAGTTTACTTAAAATTCACCAGCTGGAGGGCACTGATGAACTCAAATTACAAAATCCAATACTCTTTTCAAGACAGAATAATATTAGACTTCTTATACCTTGCGACCTTCTCAGAGCCCTCTTGCTGTTGATTATTCCTTTGGCCCCCAAAGAAAATCTTCACCTTCTGTTGAATACACATCCTCCTTGAAAGCCCTTCTCCCTTAAATTTCCTGACAATACAGTCTCTCTTGGTTTTTTATATACATAAACACATTCATTCATTCACTCACCATTAATTCATACAACAAATATTTACTGAGTACCTACTAAGTGCTCAGAGCTAAATGCTAAAGATACAGTGGTAAACAAGGTAGACAAGGTGCATTAAACAAACCGAACACATCAAACAAATATTAACAATTGTGATAAGTCCTTCAGAGAAGTACAAAGGTTCTGGGAGTACCAAATAAGGGAGCTGATCAAGCCTGAGAGAGGGGTCAAGAGAAGACAGTTCCATTAGCACTTCAGTTAGGGCCTAAAGGAAAGAGCCAGCTAAGCCATGGGGTAGGGGTAAAGGCAAGCAACATCTCTGTAGAGACAGAGAGGAAGATGAGTGGACAAAAGCAGTAAGGAGGACTAACAATGAGGTAGGAATAAACTAGACTAGTGTCACAGAAGTTAAGGTCTCCCACTGGCCAAATGCAACTAACTGAAACAGATTTATTAAAGCCCATGCATTCAAAATGGTAATTTTATAAAGTATAAGATCAAATTTTTTAAAAATCCTAACTCCTTGGATACCATAAGAAATAATGAGGCCACAAACTCCTTTTTACAAAAATTGTCCATTAAAAAGAAAATTATCCTGCCTTTACTATCTAAACTGTGTATCAGCGTGATCAAGCAGTCTTGGAGGATGAAGAAAACGTTCCTTTTACAGAAGAAATTTCAGTGTGATAGAGAGGAAATTAGAAAATCACCATTTTGCAACCCCTAATAAGATAACTGATTGAGGCAATAATCTTCAAGGAATGAAACCATTAGGTTTCATTAGTAGTAAGTAATCTAAAGTAGTAAGATAAAAATACGCTGTCACCATCTGAACCTACTGATCAATCTTAGCATCACCATAAGTGAGATACTCTTTCAATGTGATGTGATATGAAGCACACAGCACCACTTGCAAAATGTTCTTACTAAAAAGGCAGAATCAAGTCCCTAAAGCAAACTTTATTTACCACAATTATGAGAGATAAAGTTAAATAATATTACAAGGAAGCAGAAGAAAAATACAGAATGGGGGACATTTAACAAGACAACCGGAAAATTTATGAGGGAAAAAAACAGAATGAGGAATTCTCTACACTAAAAAGAACTTAAGGGACATGACAAGAAAATGAATGTATGGTCCATGTTTGGATCATGAATCATGATTCAAACAAACCAAATAAGAAAACACTTTTGAGACATAGGGAACTCTGATTATAGATGGGGTATTAGATAGCACCAAGGAATTATTGTGGGCTGGAATGAGGTACACATTTTTAAAGAGAGAAGTATAGTAAAGCATGAAATGACATGCTTGGGATTTGCTCTCCAATATGTCAGTGATTTAAAAAAAAAAAAAAGGAAAAAGGAGACGAGAACAAATGTGGCAAATTCTGACTTTTGATGACTCCAGCTGGTAGGGTTCACATCACTATTCTTTCTTTGTTAGCATTTTTCATAATTAAAGAACAGTAAGTGTTCACTGGATTTACTGAGATGATTGATGACCTTAACTTATTTGATAAAATAAAGAAACAGAAACCAGACTGGCAAATAGTTTGTGACGGGGAGGAGAGTGGTAGCTGAAGTGAATGTGAGATTAAAGTAGTTTTTTTGTTGTTATTAATGTTTCAAGAAAAAAATAAACTTTAGTTATTTATATGTGGATGAGAAGGTGAAGACTAGGGGAGGGAGTGCAGCTAGAATAATCAACAGCACACGCACCCTGAGAAGGCAGGAGGTTATGAGATCCCGAGTAAGGTAAAAAGAGGAAAATGCGGATAAAGGGAGAAAAAGAAATAGATTTGGTGGAGGGAAGGTGAAGGAATTGCAATAAGGAATTCTATTTTCTCTTTTGTGTGTGTGTGTGTGTTTTTTTTTTTTGTGAGACAGAGTCTTGCTCTGTCACCCAGGCTGGAGGTTCAGTGACACGATCTCAGCTCACTGCAACCTCTGCCTACCGGGTTTCAAGCAATTCTCATGTCTCAGCCTCCCAAGTAACTGGGACTACAAGTGTTCACTATCATGTCTGGCTAATTTTTATATTTTTAGTGGAGATGGGTTTCACCATGTTGGCCAGGCAGGTCTCTGACCTCAGGTGATCCGCCCACCTCAGCCTCCCAAAATGCTGGGATCACAGATGTGAGCCACTGTGCTCAGCCCTATTTTGTCTTTGAAGCAGCAGTCAAGGCCATCTGCTAAAAGTAAGAACAGACAAATTTGAGATTTGAAGAGAATAAAGGTTTAAAATTACTGCTATAGAAAGCGGGAGAATAAGCTGAAAGTAGAAATTTCACAGGATTACCAGGCAACATTGAGACCTGAGGTTGGTGATCAAGAATTTAGAGAGATATTATCCCCTCTTCCATAACGTGTGATTTTTCTCAAGCACTATCTAGATAGACAGTTGGGCTTATAAAGGCTTGGGGTTTTTTCAGGCAAATGTGACAAAAACAAGGAAGTTTGGCATATTGGCAAGAGATATAGAAAATGGAAGGCCATGGAATCTAAGCTAGTTAGAATACTGAAGATAGAAAGAGCTAACAGAGCAGAAAGTATCAGTTGTCGAAAGATCCAACAGTCATTTGAAGGATCCTATATAATCAATGCTTTGGCTTGGAAAGGACTTCTGGCGGTTGTCAGAAAAGCCAAATGTGACTTTTCCCCTTGATTTACAGGTGTTGCCAACTGAGATGAGTATAGCTGTGATTAGTAAAAGGAAGCTAATGAGTATGAGGAATACATGGACGGGCATCTCTATACTGAGATATGACAAGCAGTGATCCTAACAATGCTGCTCAGTATTTTATGGTCAATAACCTACTTGGCTTGGGGGTAGGAGATGGCGGCATTTAAGTGTTAGTGTTTCTAAGAGTTTTGTTCTAGTATTCTCCTCTTACTCTGGAATCAGGTCTCCTAAATGACATCATCCATATTCACCACTTTAAATACTACTTATGTTCTGATGGCTTTCATAAATATATACAACTACCCAGGGGACTCCTCAAACTCATTACCCACAAACATCTGCTCTTGCTTTAGTATTCTGTACCTTAGTGAAGAGCAAGGGATCCTTCAGTTATGCCATCCAGAAGCCCAAGATACCTTTATCCAGTCATTAGTTTTTATTGATTCTGCAAGTTAAATCTCTCTCAAATTCACATTCTGTTTTTTCTCTCCACTCTTAACTGTCACTGCCTTAATTCAGGTCTTCACTATTTCCTGCTTAGATTTTGGCAACAGCTTCAGAACCCATATCTCTGCCTCCATTCCAACCCACCTATAGTCTATCTTTGTATTTCTCTAAGAGATACTTGTAAAAATCTGATTATTTTCCTGTCCAGCTTAAATCCTATAATGGTTTAGAATTGCTTAAAGGACAGCTCCTTAGTAAAACATATAAGGCACGCTAATAATCCAATTAATATCTATTTCTCTAACTCTCACCACTGACCCTGAGGTCATTTATGCATTAAAACTGCACTGATCTAGTTACTGGTCCCAAATGCATTATACTCTGCTATAAATGATGTCATGTTATTTCCTCTGCGTGGATACCCTAGAATCTCCTTGACTATGAGCAGGGATTGTGGTCTTCAACCTTGTACACCCAATGCCTGACATATGATACATACAATAAATGGCTATTACATAACAAAATGAGTCCCTTCCATTTTTAAAACAGCACCAGATTCAAATTCCCATTTTCCTAACAAAACTAAATGGAACTACAGTTACTCATAGTTGGAGAGACTATTTTAAGAAACAAAGGAAACACTTCATTTTTGCGGTCCTTTCCTTAACCACTTAAATATTTCATCAAATTTTGTATTTTTGCAGGATTGTAGAAAAGATGAATGACTGGAATAATTGAAGAATAGTTCTGAGAATAGTATTCTATTATCTTCATCCTACTGTTAGGCAATCCTTGAAAGTCATTTTAATAAGTTAATAACTAATCTTCAATGACTGAGTAGGATGAATTTTAACTAGTCAATCAAGTTACTTAAGAAAAATGAAACAAAAGTAATTTTAAGAGGCATCAGATTGGAAAAGTGAAAACAGCACTAGAAAGAGTAGTTGAATTTACGTCCCTATAAATTCAGAGGTATACAGGTAATTCACAATCTCTCACTTTCCTCTCTTCACCCATAAAATGGGGATAATAAAAGTATTATTTCACAGGGTTCTTGTGAGGATAAGTTAATCTATACAGAACAACCCCTGGAACCTACTGCCACACCAGCTAGTATGGATGGTTAGTAAGGAAGCCATCAAAGACTAATAACCAGACTGTGTCTAAGGGACTTGGGAGCCAACTTGAAAAGGCTTGCACTGGCCAAAGATGTAACAATTTAAGCATCAATAAGAACGGTAACTGCAATGGATTAAAAAATAGCAACTAGTTTAAAGGCTGCAGTTTCTGACATTCAAAAAAAAATTGGTAATCTTTGGAGAATGCTAGACCACCAACTGTTTATTCCGAAAACCAGTAATAAAGAGAAAGAATCAACCAAACAGATGAAGTCAAGTTTCTCCTCATAGAAGTATTTCAACAAATAAATGAATCCAGGTGAAATGGCACTATTTGTAACCCCCAACGAATTAATGGATCTAGGTAATGATCACTAATGGCTCAATGGCTGATCAACCATCACCAATGGCTGATCACTCAAAAAAAAGATACTATAAGTCTTCTGATAAAAAATATGCCTATGAAATAGTCTTGCAAACAAACAACAAAACAACAAAATATATATATGTATGCCCCAGATCTAACCCAATCATCAAGAAATACAGAGAACAAAGGAATGTGTTAAACTATACCATAGGCGTGCAATCAGAAAAGTCTTGACTAAAAAACTCTCTAGGATAAACGATCTGTTTTCTTCAACAAATTAAAACATAAAAAAGAGAGGCCGGGCGCAGTGGCACACGCCTGTAATCCCAGCACTTTGGAAGGCCAAGGTGGGGAGATTGCGAGATCAGGAGTTCAGGACCAGCCTGGCCAATATGGTGAAACTCCATCTCTACTAAAAATACAAAAATTAGCTGGGCCTGTAGTCCCAGATACTCAGGAGGTTGAGGCAGAAGAATTGCTTGAACATGGGAGGTGGAGGTTGCAGTGAGCCGAGATCGTGCCACTGCACTCCAGCCTGGGCGACAGAGCGAGACTCTGTCTCCAAAAATAAAAATAAATTAAAAAGAGAGATAAAAGAAGAGCCTATAGAGATTTAAGACAGGCAAAACTAAATGCTGTTTACATAGTTGAATGACAACACCATAAAGTAAAGAAATGATCACCATAAAAGCCAAGACTGCAGGTCCTCTGATGGGGAAGCGAATGGGAGGGAAACGTGGTAGGCTTCTGAACTAGCTGGCCAGGGACCATCTCCTGACATAGGCAGTCGTTACAAGGCTGTTAATCTTTGTAAACTTACATATAATTTACTAAGCTGTGCTTTTGTGCAGTTTCTCTATTTGTTATTTTTAACAACAGAAATTTAAATGGAATGATGCTAAACACAGGAACCTTATAATCCTAACTGTGCCAATCAGTGTTCTCCCCAGCTGTTATCATATATAAACATGAAAAGCAACATTCCAAATATTTTGGAACATATGAATAATTCTTATAAAAAGTCCACTAAAGTATTTTGAATGCACTCAATAATGTCAGCTAGCATCGTCACGGTTTTTTATTTGAAGCTGAAAACCTCATACTTACTAGTTTGCTGCTGCTGCTGTTGTGTATTAAATCCTCCAAATCCCAGTCCAGTTCCCAAACCGGTACCTAAACCAGTACTAGTTCCCGTTGTTGTGCCAAAACCAGTACCAAATCCAAAACCTTTGTTCTGAGTACCACCGAAGAGTCCTTTGAAAGAAAAATTGGAACTTCGTAAGTTAAAAAAAAACAACAAAAAACAACCTCTACTTCATTTACTTCTACAAATGACTTAAGATGGCCTCTTACCAGTAGTGCCTGTGTTAGTGGGGGCAGAAAAGCTGAAAGCAGAACCTGCAGTTGTAGATGTTGTCCCAAATCCTCCAAACCCACCTAATTAAAAAAGAACAAAAATAGAAAGGAAGAATCTTTTGTATATATAAAGGCAACTTTTTAAAATTATAAGTAATTGCTACATATAAAATCAAAATATATTGATCTAATTTTTCCTGTCTCTACTTTCAAGATCAATTTTTTAGAAAACTATACTACCAATCGAGAAGTCAAAATGTTACAAGAAATGAACTAAGCATTTAAAATAGAAATATCACAATGTAATATATACCCTTCAATTAAAGGGGTGGTTAACAGTTACAGATGAGAAAACACATTAAGCCTATTGCCATAATTCTAAAACGACTATGTATGTACTTTTAGAGGATGTGTTGCAAATTCATATGGCTAAACAGTAAAGACTAAAGTAGACTATGTGTTTACTGACAGGTGGAACTGTTTAAAATGAATAGTTTTTTTCGATCAGCAGTTCCTAAATTCCAGCCGATACAAGAAAGGTAGTTTAGTAGTGTTACATATTCCCATTTTTTACCCCAAGAGAAACAGGAAATCTGGATTTTCTATGTAAAATGTATGGGTTTTTAAACCCTAATTCAACTACTTTTTTTTTTTGCAAGGAATTCAAATGTTTTGAAAATAGCGTGCCAAACATATCACATTAGCAGACTCGTTGCCAGTTTGCAACCTTGGTTTTGGTGAATTTATGTCAAGATTAACTTATATTTCTACTTAGTCTCTGTCAAGACTAAGTAACTTTTCAAAGGAAGCACACCAATACACTTACCTCCATACAACAAAAATGTGTTTCTTGAAGGAAGAGATTTGATAGATAAATGGAATGCTAGCCAATCTAAAATTGTTTTGTTATTTTTGTAACTTATTGTCAGTCTTCAGCTGATTACCAAGGGTATCAAAAAGCCTTTCAAGACAAATGTTTGAACCATTAGTGTCGAATTATATTGCAGGTTTTTTTGGAATCTACCTTCAATTTTATTTATTTCTGGTATACAACACAGATTCATCAATATTGCAATACAGAAAATACAAGAAAAAAATGCAACCATTTTATATTAATCACCTCATTCTGATTTGGAAAACTACTCAAGTAAGCTGCATGTTGCGTGCAGGCACAACTAAATATTCTATTTACTTGTAGGTTCTATTGCAGTACTGCAAACTGTAAACATTTTCATAAAAATCACCTAAAGTACTAAGCACTGTTGTAATCTCTTTTCATTACTTTTCACTTCCACAGAATAACTATGATATAATCTGAATTGGCTACACAATAAACACTAGTCAGTTTCTCATCATGCTCCACAACATCAAAAATGTTTTAGTAATAGCAGGTCTACAAGTATACAAAATAAAAAGTAAACAAGAACTTTTATCAGCCCTCTGCTGAAGGTTAACACATACAAAAGTAGTTAAAACATTTTACATTATCATAACTCAAAACTTAACAGTGATAACTCCAAATGAACATGAAATCAAGCAAATACCAACAAGTTTATTTACTGTTGTTGAATTATGAGCTGGGTGGCTTTATTCGGAAACACAAATTTCAAAGTAAGATTTCTGTTTTACCCAGTGCCAATTTTAAGCAAACAAGGAAAAGCAAACACACCAAAGGACAGTGATATGTGATCCCTTCGAATACAACTTAATTAAAATGGATCATCTCGTCTTTGAAGTTTTCAAATATTCTTCTGTTTTCAACTCAGATGCTAGGGTGATAATCACATTGCAGTAACAAGTGAATGAATAAAATACCAAACTTCCCAAGTAAGGTTTAGAGAGTAAATAATGTTTATCAAATGCATATAATTGGCACGGGCATAAGAGGCATAATGTAAGAGACTATGGACGATAAATTCATATACGAGCAGCTGAAGAACAAGATTTTTTTTCTACAGTGTCACTATGTAAAGTACACATAAACCTATTTTAAATGCATACATAATATCATTATTGCGTCTTGCAAAATTTTTTAATGAGCTTCAAACAACCCACATGCATAAGAAAATCTTCATAATTATCTTTTTGAATGCAAAGACGTCTAGCCTACCTTTTAGAATTCGGGGCTATATGCCATAAAATTAAACTGCTCTCTTTGAGCTTTTCCCAAAATTCCAGAAAAGAATTGGGGATTCTTTCTATAATTACACATCTTATAGAAATTACACATCTTACAGTATCCTAATCTGCTGAGTTGACCAAAGAAATACATTATTATCATTATAACACAAGTTAAAAAACAAAACAGGTTACTGCTGTTCGTATAAGACTTGTTTCTCTTTGGAAACAGAAGGACAATAAAATGAAATCTCAATGAAAGATGCAGAAAAAATGAAAAATGACTGCAGGAGTCCAAGAATCCCAGGATGGGCTTGACTGGTGGTGAGTTTATACTTTGGAAGTCTTATCTAATAATTTAAAAGATATATTCTATTCAAAATTATAATCCAAATGCTTATCATTTGGAAGATAAGTGCACATTTAATAAAGGAACACAACTTGCAAAACTTTCCTAAACCACATCTTTTAAGGTACTAAAAACTTGATATAAATGTTTTTGATCTGAGATCAGGAAACAAATTTCCTTTCCTTATTAAACAAGTAACAGTTCCTTCCCAAACTCCAGGAACCACAATATTCTTGGACTCCAGCTCCCAACACTCGTTACACATACAACCCGCAGTATCTACCTGCACTTGCCAGACTGTTACCAAAATTGAACGGAGTCGCCGAGGTAGTAGAAACACCGAAATTCCCAATATTAAAGTTCACTGCAGGATTAGCAGTTAATCCGAAACCCCCAAAATTAAACCCACTGGCGGTGGAGTTGGCAGTCTCAAGCCCACCAAATCCTGATAGGCGTGTAGGCAAAGAAACAAAATTTTAAAAAGGGGGAGAGGGAAAAAGAAAAGAAAGCAAGGTAAGGATTACAAGAATCAGCAGGAGGTTTCACAGAAGTGAATAAACCTGGTTTTGCTCCAAACAGTTTAAGAAAGCAGAGTGGGGGTGGGGTGGGGCAGACGGAAGCAGCACGACGGATAAGCCCCATAGCGAGGACCACAAGGGGCCGGGGCTGGAACTAAGGGAGTCAATGGGCAGTGCCGTTGGATCCCCAGCCCTATCCTCGCTGGCAGCGGGAATCACGCAAGCGTTCCCGCCTATCCGGGAGGCTGAGGTGCAGAAGGGAGGGAGGGAGGCTCTCAGGCAAGGTGAGAGGGGAGCAACCTCCAATTTCTCGGAGTAGGACTCCCCGGTGGCGGGAAGCGAACCGCTGAAGCCAGGGCCCTGTGGAAACTCACGCGCGGCGCGCGAGCTTCTAGTGGGACCTCGAGTACCCCCGGGGCCTCCTCGGGAGCCGCCTCGGCCCACTTTGCGGCCGCCCGCCCTTTCCCAATGCCTCTAAAGTCTCCGCGTCGGCGGGAGATCCCAGGATACCCAGATCGGAGAGTCTCGGACAGAGGGGGCGGACCAGACCCTTCCCCTCCTTCCCGGGTGAAGGTCCAGGGGGATCACTCACCCGCGGGGGCCGCGGTGGCTGCAGCGGTACCGGAGGTGCCCGAGGGAGCCCCAAAATTGAAGGCCATGTCGCGAGAGCAGGAAACCAAGGAGATTACTCCCGCGACGCGCAGCGCGCTCCTCTTCTCAGTCCGGCCGGGAAACCGCCAGTCAGATTACCGAGTTCCACCTCCTTTCTGGCCTAGCCTAAGAGGCCGGAAGGCGCCAAGGGCGTAGGAGCCGGGTGGTTGTGAGCGAACGCCCCCAGCCGGCTCACTTCCGGTGGGGTTCACAAGATGCGGGGCATCACTGTTAAGGTAAAATGCTGGGACGCTGGCGAGGGTGTGCCTCCTGGGAGTCCTTTAAAAACTACCGTAGGGAGGTTCTTTGGGAAAGATGTGCAGAGGCTGACGTTGTTACTGTAGGGATACGCGGTAGACAGCTAGAATTTGCATGTGGTAGGGTTGAAGTTGCTGCCCCATCAAAGAGTGGACCTGGGAGGTCGGGCAGCTGGGCTGGGTTTGAGAACCCACCACCACCCACGAGGAGATGGTATTTGAACCCAGTGCTGAAGGATGAGTAGGCGGAGCAGAAGTAAAGAGGGTGCACGTTGGAAGAAATGAAAGAGAATGGAACTGTAGCAAACACGTTGCGTTTACTCTGTGCCAGGCACTCTTCTAGACATTTGACATAATTTAATTCTCAGCTATCTTGTGAGGTTGGTTCCTGCTATCCCCAGTTTATAAAAGAGGAAACAGGTACCAGAGGGTCAGGCTGTGTCCAGAGTCAGTACTCCTAACCACAGCTCTAAGGAGCACTGAAAAAGAGGGGAAGAGTGGTCCCCCTCCATCTTACTTGTAATATTATTTAATCCTCAGAATAACTCAATAGAGGAGATTCTGTAACTGTATTTTGCAGGTGAGATGAGAGGATTGAGGTTTGGAGTTGTTAAGCAGCTTGCCCAAAGTCACCTTGCAAGTAGGTTCTGGAGTCTAGTTTTGAACTCATGTTTCTCCACTGCAGAGTCCCAATTTGTAAAAATTACCATTATATTATATTGCCTTGTAAATTATGGTAAGGATTTCAGACTATTTCTTAAGGGTAATGGGAAACCTTTAAGGGGTTTTAGGCAGAGGACTAGTATGACTAGAATTTTATTTTTAGAAGATCCCTCTGGCTGCCATGAGGAGAATGGATTGGAAGGAGCCAGCATGCCTCAGGAAGGTAGAGCTTTTAGGAGTCTGTTGTAGTTGCACAGGTAAGAGATGATGATGACTTGGATTATATCTGGCAGTGGAATTATGAGAATAAATTTGAGAGATACTTAAGAAATAGCATATATAAGACCTGTAGTATTTGGACATGGGGAGTAAGGATTCAAGGACAACTTCCTGCTTCTTGGGCAAGTTGGTGAATGGTGACCAGGTCTGACTCCTGCAAACTAAGTATGCTTTCATACCCAATGAAAGCACTGCCTTCTTTCATTGTCACAGATAATTTAATCAATCTAATTTTTACTCACAATAATATATATTCCATAAATGCAAGAACTGTGTCCCTCTTGTTCCATGCCCTGCACAAGTGTCTGGCATATAACAGGGGGAAATAAATAATGAATGAATGACAGATAGGTGGAAACCAGATCTTGAAAGACCTTCCTTAGCATGTTAAGGAGCTTTGATTTACCACCAGCTTGTCCAGCCTGCAGCCCACAGGCCACATGTGGCTCATGGCTCAGGATGGCTTTGAATGCAGCCCGACACAAATTCATAAACTGTATTGAAACGTTGTGAGGTTTTTTGGCGATTTTTTTAAAGCTCATCAGCTATTGTTAGTGTTAGTGTATTTTATGTGTGGCCCAAGGCAATTCCAGTGTGGCCCGGGGAAGCCAAAAGATTGGGCACCCCTGAGTTAGCACATAGTCTAATGGTTAAGTACTTAGCTTACCTTAAAAAAACAAACAACCCCCCAATCTAGCAGAAAGAAAAACCAAAGATTAATTTATGGAATCTGCCAGAAGCTCAGAAATTGGAGATATCATGTATCTTCATCAGTTGGGGTAAAGGGAAGATAAAATGAGAGGAACTGGTTGAAAGTCTATTTAAGAAGCAGTTAGAGCTCCCAGAATCCTCTTCTGACCTTGTGCAGCCAAGTGAATGCTTCTTCCCCACTCTAGAAAAATGATGGAGGATTCTTCTCTACAGTGATTAAAATAGTATTATTTGCCAGGCACCAGCCTATAGTCACATCTACTTGGACAGCTGATGGGGGAGGATTGCTTGAGCCCAGGAGTTCAGCCAGCCTGGGCAACACAGTGGGGACTCTCCCCTGCCCCCCGCCAATGTCAAAAAAATAAAATAGTAGTGTCTCTGGATTTGGGGGCACCAGACATTATTGAGAGTGGGTAGTGCCCTACTGAATGCTGGAAGACTGAGTGGAAATGCATGCCTATACACCTTCCCCTACTGCTCCCAGAGCATTGGCAGCCAACCCTTTACCCTCCAGGAAGGTATAGGAGAATCTTCTATGGGTGAAATGACCAGTATCAGAGAAAAGACAGTCATCTGACACCAGAAATCTCTAAATAAATGATTTAGCCACATCACATTATAGCAGTGGTCCTCAACTGGTGCCAATTTTGACTTCTACTCCTCCCACCCCCTGGCACATGTGGCAGTGTCTACAGACAGTTTTGGTTGTTGCAACCAAACTTTTAATTTAAAAGTTTCATTCTCCTTGCAGTTAGTTTCCTCCAAGCTGCTTTTGCTGTGCTATTTGTTTTGATCTCTATACTTTGTGTTAAAGCCTTTCCTCAGCTTGGTAATCCTTGCTGGTCTACTCATATTTAAGAGTGGAAGATCCTACAGGCATCTATTGGGTAGAAGTTGAAGATGCTGCAAAATACTCTAGGACAGACTCCCTTCCTCCCCAAACAAAAAATTATCTGGCCCCAAATATCACTATTACAGAGTTTGAGAAATCCTGCTTTATAATAAAGCTCACACTTCACAAGCCTCGCTAAGACACACAGAACTTCCATTCAGCTTTTAAGTTCCACTCTTAAATATGAGTAGACCAGCAAGGATTACCAAGCTGAGGAAAGGCTTTAACACAAAGTATAGAGATCAAAAAAAATAGCGCAGCAAAAGCAGCTTGGAGGAAACTAACTGCAAGGAGAATGAAACTTTTAAAAAGTGTCCACAGAGAGATAGCAAGAGATATTGTAACCATGAAATAATATCAGGATGTTATTATTTTCAAAGAAAGGTATTCTTAGCAGAACAAAAGAGAGCTGTAGGAATTTTAAAGCTATTACCGGAAATGAAAAACCCAGTAGAAGTGTTGGAAGATAAAGGTGAAGAAATCTCTCAGAAAGTAAAACAAAAAGACCAAGGATGGAAAATTGAAGAAAAAATAAAACTAAAGGACTAGTTCAAAAAGTTGTCTATCACACACACTGTTATATTATGCACATCAGAAAGACTATAGAGAAAAATCTGTCCTTTAAAGTCTTTCAAGATTATTCCTATTATTCCTGTTATTCGTTCATTCAGAGTTTATTGAGTCCTACTATGTACTTGGCACTATTCTGAGTGCTAAACAGAAAAGGTATGGTTTGTGCCTTTGAGAACTTACTGTTGAGTGAGGGAAAACCAGATATTAAGTTAATAGTACACTTGTGGGCCAAGTGCAGTGGCTCATACTTGTAATCCCAGCACTTTAGGGGGTCAGGGCAGGAGGGTCGCTGAGCTGGGGAGATTGAGACCAGCCCGGGCAATATAGAGAGACCCCATCTCTACAAAAAAAAAAAAAAAAAATAGACCAAATTAGCCAGATGTGGCAGATGCCTGAAGCCCCAGAGGTTGATGCTGCAGTGAGCAGAGATCATGCCACTGCACTCCAGCATGGGCGACGGAGTGAGATGTCTCAAAAAGAAAATAGTGTACTTGTGACTATTCAAGAATGCAGCACAGATGAGGAAATTATTAAATAATTCAAGAAAATTTATCATAATTGAAAGACATTGCTGGTTTGAAAATGGTTCACCAAATGCTCGTTACAATTAATGAAAATAGACTTACACTAAGGCACATTCCAAAATAACAGACCCATGATGGCAAAGAAGTTTCCAGAGAGTAAAAGAGGTCACACACAAAAAAACAGGAATCAAAATGGCATCAGACTTCTCAATGGTAACACTAGCTAGAAGGCAGTCAAGAAATGCCTTTGAATTTCTGAATACAAATTGTTTCCAGCTACAATTCTATTCCCAGCCAAGTTGTAGATCAGCTGTGAAGGGAGACTAACAGCATTTTTAGACAAAAAAAAAAAAACTTTTAAGAAAATAAAACACCTCCTATTTTTTAGGCAGTTAGTTACCAGGGGATGTTTGCCACCAAGATGGAGCCAAGGCTGAAAGAGGAAGACATTCGGAGCTCCAGCACAGATGTCAGGAATCCCCAGGATGACTTGGAGAACAACCAGTCCAGACTGTAGCAAGTCAGGTTCTGGGGAAGGCTACTTCAAAAGGATGAGCAATTTGAGAGAGATTTAGATAATCAGCAACAAGGTTGGGGTTGAATTGGTGATAAATACATGAAAACTAAGCCAGTGGGACAATTAAACAATATTAGATGAGAAAGGAAAAGTGTTGAAAGGTTACTACATGGCTCAATTTTGCAGTTTCCACATAATCCTGATAATGTGAATTGAATATTGAGCTGGACAAAATTATGGCATAACTATACTGGAAAGATGGGGGAATGAAAAGAATATTTGTGTGCATAGAAAAGAGCTAAACCCTCATCCTCCATGGTGGGGAGTCAGTGGGTAACGCTGAAACAAAATTCACCAAGCAGCATATCATCTAGAGACAAGGGGGTAAAATAAAAAAAAAGCAATTTAAAAAGGCTAAAACGGGCCTGCAAGCACTCTGAGAGTAGTGTCTGCTTTTCCTATCTTTTTAAAAAATAACAATTATAGAATTGTTTGATTGTTAAATTTATGTGCTTTATGTATAACTTTAATAAAAATGAAAACAAACAATAACAAAAAGGCTTTGTACTTATCAAAATTACTAATGTTGTTTGACCCAGCAATGCTACTTCTAGGAATTTATCTTATAAATGATTTGACAAAATAATGGAATACAAGGTAATTCATTACAACACTATCTATAATAATGATTGGAAACAAACCAGGGTTTGGTTAAATAAATTGTTGCT